CTCTCTCTCTCTCTCTCTCTCTCTCTCTCTCTCTCTCTCTCTCTCTCTCTCTCAATAATTGGCAAGGGAACAATAATTGGCATGTAGTCGAGGAAAACAGAGCATGTCGATGCTCATTTCTGACCACCTTTCATGGTATAGAATTTGATGATTCATTCATCTGGTAATGTTCTGTTCAATCATAGATCAAATGGAATTAGAGCCATGGCAAAAACTAAGAAAGATCGGAACTTGGTCTGGGAAACTTGAGATACTTAATCCTAACATAGCTAAAGCTGTTCTTGCAGTGGGCATCTGAAAGATGAAAACTCAGTAACCCGTTGTTAGGATCGTAATTCAACTCCACCTCAGAGTTATCTACCGAGCAGTAAACAGGCCACGTACTAGAATATGCTCTGAATCGCCCCGGACTTCTTGCTTGGATCTTAATTGCACACCCTGAGAGAGAAATGATGCTTCTCAGATCGACGATATCTCCACCGGAGTTATACATAACGATAAGCCCGAGAGGCGCAAACCGGACTTTTTCATCGTAATCCTGACACACTATGAGACATCATCGTCTAAACCATATTCGATCCGAAGGAAATCTGTTTACATTGATTGGTGAGACAATATAAATCTCAAATTGCAGAATGCGCAGTAGAACATCTGCAGCTGCTCTCTTTTGTAGTTTCGATAGAGTTCCTGCGATTTACGATCCAAATCGATGCATACGACAAGTCGTTAGCAAGCAATTCAAGGACAACCATTAAGAGTTGTGTGTTCATTTATCGAAGCTTTCGCTCTCACAATGCACTAAGTTCATGGCACGTAGACGCGATTTCTCCGCGACCAGGTCTTACCGACTGTTTCAGTAGATAAGTTCATGGGGATAAAAACCATGATACAGGTAAATATAAAAAGACTTTATATTCCTTATATATTCTGATCTTTAACTAATTTATGATTTAAGAATCAATCATAAATTTAAGTACATGATTTAAGCATATAATTAAGAGAAATCTATCTCTCATAATCTATATAAATACATTACATCAATAAATAAAATCATTCATCTCACAATAAATTCTTGATGATACCATAATCTTCTTGCTTCTCTCTCTTTCTCGCTCTCTCTCCCTCTATCTCCTTGGTGACTTGCTATTGATACTTTATAACTCTTCTTTCGGATTCTGGCATTGCACTAAAGACGAAGATGCGTGACTATCAATCTCCTAACACGATATGCTTTATAACATATCTACTCCACTTTGCTAATTTGATTAGCCTCCTCTAGTGATCGGCCAGCTTCTTTGGTGATAATTTATTATTGTGCAATTCTGCTTGGTGGGTATTCCCTCTACTCTTATCTACTACTTAGTATCTTCATCGACATCCTCGTCCATCTCTTGTCAACCATCAAACTCACTAATACCTCGGATCCACAGTCAACCTCTCGGTAATAGTCCATTATTTATCACTTTCAACTATGCCATCAATACTAGTGATTGAAAGGACTTAGGAGAGAACGATAGTGATTGCCCTCTTCTGCACACCCAGATAAGATCCTCCCCTTTACATCTCTCAAATCTATTCTCTTCCAACAAATCACATCTACACCATTTAAGCATCCAAACTAGACTGCCAATTGATTTTAGTTTTTTCTTATTGGATTATAGTATCTTTTTAGCATGTTTTTATTCTTTATATCTAATGTTACAATTATTATTTCCTCGAGAAATAATAGTTCATCTCAACCTATAGGACTTATATCTATCAATGCAATAATTATAATCTTCTTTAAGCTCTCTAAAGACAATAACTATGTATCTTAGTGGGCATAATTCATCAATCTCCTCTTTGGATATGATCTATTAGACCATATCGACGACTCTCTTAGTTGTTCATGGGAAAAAAAATTATAAATATCAAGGGAACCCATCCCAATAACAAATCATGATCATAAGTTATAGCTACAATAAGATTATCTCATTCTACAAGTAATTCAAGTCATTAGCTCTATAACATCATTAACCTTTTTATATAGTATTTTAGCAGAAGTATGAACCAAGTTACAAACCACCTTCGCCAATCGCTTTCACACTCATATGCTAAACTTTAATCTACTTTGATGAAAACAATATAAGAGGAAAGTACTATTGCTGATTATATATAATTTAAAACTTATTAAGATGATTTGACTTTAATAGGTTATCTATTAAATAATAAAAAAAGTCATTGTTTATACTCTCAATGACTTAAAAGAACGAATATAAAAAATTGACGACAGTAATTCGGGCACGTGATTCACCAAGAATTGTATAACAAGCTGATCGATCATGAAACATATTTGAAACAAGAAAAGAGAAAGATGAGACCAACTATCATAGCTTAATTCAATAAGAACTTCAATAAAGGACCGAACAAGATGTCTTTTGGAGTAGCAAATAAAGTAAGAGTAATTGGCTAAGTGTTTTGTGAAACTAATAACCACGCCATATTATTTCTGTTGAGTCTATCTTTTCTTTCTAAAATCTTGCTCATTCAACAATGCGAGTCACTACAAGATATCTCTAGGTGTTATGATTCTTTATATCATATTATATTATTTTTGTTGAGTTTATTTTTTTCTTCCAAAATCTTACTCCTTTAACAATGCAAGTCACTACAATAACCATTCATCACTAGGTTTATATGAGTATACCTCAAACCCCCTTAATCGTACCTTTCACCACATCAACCAATAATTCTTCTCTAGACTTATATTTTCTTTTTACTCCAATTCAATAGCACACTGTAACTGCTCTATATACTGCTCCACCAACTAACTCTGCAATGCCCGATGGAGCAAAAATCTTAGCCTAACAGTGACACTAAAGTATATTAGCTTGATCAAGTATGTGTCACTAACTCTTTACTAATTCTTATACCTTTAACACAACTCAATAATACTACTGAGCCTGGACATCAAACCATGTCAAATCCTTGATCTCCAGGTTACCATAAGCTCTTCACCGAAGCCTACTAAACTCACAACTATTAGCCAAGCTCAAAAATCTTCGTAGTGGCATAAAACTATATGTGAGGAATATAATGCCCTACTCTGTAATGCCACATGGATCCTTCTCCTCACCCCACACAAAATATCATCGGGTATAAATAGATCTTTCGAATTAAGCGAAACCCAAATAGATCCATTACTAAATACAAAGTATGTCTAGTGGCCAAAGTATTTCACTAATGACTAGGTATTGATTTCATAGAAACCTTCAATCCAATTGTTAAACTAATAATAATTCAACTATGAGCTTGATTATCACTAAAGGCTAACATATACAACAACTATATGTTTACAATGCTTTCTTATATGAGATCTTAACTAAAGATGTCTTTATGCAACAACCCCCTTAGCTTCATCCATTATCGGTATCCATGTCATATTTGTAAACTATAAAATGCTATTTATAGATTTTGCTAAGTTCGAAGAGTTTGGTATGTGCTCATTTTTTATGTAAGTTGGTTTTGTCAACTCTAAGTCTGACACCTCCTTATTCTTACGATAATAAAAGAGATGTATTATGTATTTACTGGTTTATATGGATGACATTATTATCATATATAGTATTCTATGAAGATCAAGCAATTTGTAGATCGATTCTCTATCAAATTTGATTTATGAGCCTTAAGCTATTTTCTAGAAATGGAAATAACATTCACATCTTTTAAACTTTTAATAATTTTAAAAAAATATATTTAAAATTTATTATCAAAGATAAATACACAAAATGCTAAAAAAACTTGTCACTCCACTCTTCAGTCACTCAAATTAAATGATGATAGCTCTACTATGAATCCCACACAATAATGATAAGTACTTTTCCTTACAGTATTTATCTCTCATAATATTTTATTTATAATTAACAAATTATCATAATTCATGTATCAACCTAATATCGTGCATTGGTCTACACTAAAATATGTTCTACAATATCTTAAAGTGATTCTCAATGATAGATTTCTCCTTTATAAAACACAATTGAATATCTATTCCTACAAGATACTACGATAATGTCGATACCACATACTTATACATCAACCCGATGTTCCACTCATATATGAAACGGAAAGCTCAATCTTACGAGGGCACGATAGAAGATCATGATATTGATAAATATGAAATAATAATTTTTTTTCCTTATATGTTATAATACTTAATCAATTTATAATTTATGAATCAATTAAAGAATTAAGTGTATGATTTAAACACATGATTTTAGTACATGACTAAAGAAAATCTATTCCTTGTATAAATAGATATTATTTTAATAAATAAAATCATCCCTTCACGAAAATAATAAATAAATAAATATCCAAATTTAAATATGTACTGGTTATTAAATGCAAAGAACTACAAAACCTGAATCGAAGGCAGGTACTGCACAATCTCCACTCCAATCTTTACCAGCAATCTCTTCGATACATTCAATGCTCGACGGTGAAACACTGCACGGAATGGGCATGGCATTGAGAATTAATGCACGTTGTTCTTTCATCGGCCAATTTCCTACTCCTTGACAGTGTAAAACACCAATGACTCCGAAACACTTGCTCACTTTCCAAATCCTTAGAAGACTACAAAATCAAACCTTTAGTGTTGTCGATACTTTTTATCTATCAACGACATGCGAATAAGCTAAACCAGGAAGTTGTTCAGATTCTGACCTTTTTCCGGCCATGTACACGAGCAGGACGTCCGGCATTTTTAGCCCTTAAGATTGAGCTATCATGGAGTCCAAGCTTTCTGAGTACGTCGAAATTGTGACGCCCTGGCCTGTCGCTGTGCTCAAAATATCGGCACGTAGAACATCAAATTGAATAGCATAACGTAACATGAGAATTCTACCAATGCCAGATAGCTCACATATACTCCACATACTCCAGTAGCTCTAGCTGCACCATGGAACTCACCTGTTGCATGGTCACTCTGCGATTTAAACGAGATAGAATCGTTAGTTCAAGCACATTCTGCACATCGATACCCTCCCTAGCATCCACCCAAAGCATGCCACATATAGAACAGACCTGTCTTCCAACTATGATGAGGATTATGTCCCGACAGAAAAATGATACCATCATAATTTATCAGGTCAGCAGTTCTTACTTCAGCTTGTGTCTCTCTATGATTGTTCTCGATAGGACTAAATGTTCCTTGTGCGTTGCCAATAACCTACACAAGCAATCAATCGATCGATCAAATACATTGACCACAATATTTGAAATTTGTAGTGAGATCAAAGCAAATAGCACCTGATAGAATCCTCCAAAAGCTTGAATGGGTCATCTCCAGAATTGATGGGAAAGCTTGCATTGTCCCCACATTTGAATCACCTAAGTCAATAAATCTGAAGTTTCAGTTAAAAGCTTAACTAAGAATCATAATCACTCTCTAGCTAATGAATTCAAACTAACCAGTCTCCAAGTAAATCTCGACCTCATTGGCAGAGTTCCCCTGTAGATTTGCACGGAATGCGCCATCCGACACAGGTAATAACAGTACGTAGAAGGTGTCAGTGGAAGCAGTAGAATCCACCATTTTGTCCTCCATTGGTACATCTTCCTTTGCTTCGAGTAGCAGCATCTGACTCTCCAGGGGGATGTCTGAGCCCTTCTTTCCTGTTCGAGGAATCATCCACCAAATCTTGAATCGGAACAGGCACGGCCATCTGAGCTCTCTGCAGAACACGTACCACAACAAGATGAAATCTTGCGGAGCATAAATGGTCTATATGGGAATGACCACGAAGAAGAACAGCCACAGTGACGTCTCTTGCTCTAGGACGCCGATCGCGAAGACGTGCCGAGAGTCGGGGGCGTTGCAGAGACCTTCATCTCTCACCACCCCTCTACCTTCCTTCTTCCCGCTACACCCATCGGGATTCCCGAGGCGCAAGAGCTCAGACACCGGCGAGCAGCCTTGTGCAGGTGACTGCGGCGGTGGATCAGAAGCCTCACAGAGATGGCGAGGGGATGAACTCGGTGGCAAGTCTCCGCGCTGCAGCATGCCGAAGTTTCGACACGGAGTACGTCGTCGCATCAAACGTGGCTGCATGCAATGTCTCTCAAACCGGACCGGGAAGTGAACCGCTTCGGCACCTCTCTCCGGCTTACTAATCGGTTAATCGACAAATATTACATGCTTTGACTTACTAAATGGCCATATAACAATTGCTTTGACTTGTTACATCATGCAGTTGCCTGTCCTCTTCTATATCCTCTCAGCTTTTTCCTCTGTCCTCTCTTATTTGAAATGGATAATTGAGTTATGATTCAAAACATCGATGAGTAATAATTAGTCGATAGGTGAGGATATTAAACCTTGATTCCAACCACCTGATTTATTGCTCAACAAAGAAAGCTTCCGTATTTAATCTTAAATCCACAATCGACTTGCACGTGCCAGCATGGTTTATGGTCACTTGAGAGTAGGCATCATCTTCTTCGTTGCTCCGCTCGGTCAACACTAATACGTAAACTCATGCGAGTTCTCATGGCTGGTATCGTTTCATGGTAGAGCTACACGCACCCACTGGGGGTGTCGACCGGTGTCATCCCTCTTGCGAAAGTTCCACTTCACACAATCAATTCATCAACCTGAAAGCAAGCAGACAGAGTCTGCAACAACTGACGCATGATTACAGTTCTCCCACCACGCCCCTAGAACACCCATGCACCGCATGTGCTCGGCTGCTCGGTGCGTTCGCTTGCATGTCTCAAAAGAGGAGGCGTTCGAGCTTGGCAGACGAGAGCATCAAACCCCGCCTGCGTCGTACCATGTAATTAAGTTTGCTGATGAGCCATTCCTCATCAATGCTCTCTACCTAAATGATCCAACGCTCTCCTTCCTCCGCACTTAATCCCTCGTGGAACCTGGTCAAGGAAACAGTTGGCTACCGCTGATCTCTCTACCTTCTTCCTGTTGCGCCCATCTATTTAATCTCCTCTAAAGATGATCTAATTGAGCTCGTTTAGAAACTTCCCCTGCGGGCAGCAGAGATGGTACTCGCACTGGCATACGTAGCAGCTGCTGTCTGGAGAAAGGTCAGTGAACAGCTGAGGGTGGAAGACGTTGGCTTGGCCGTGGTGGGGTTGTTCCTGTGCAGCGCAGCCATGCAGCGGCTCACGTCCAAGGGGCCGATGATTTGGCCCGTCCTGGGCATCATCCCTACCCTCTTCTTCCACCTAGACAACGTCTACGAGTGGGCCACCGGCGCCATCGCCGGCGCCGGCGGCACCTTCCCCTTCCGCGGCATGTGGTTCGGCAACTGCTACGGCGTCATGACGGTCGACCCGGCTAAAATCGAGTACATCCTCAAGACCCGCTTCGCCAACTTTCCCAAGGGCCGATACTACCGCGAGCGCTTCGCCGAGCTCCTCGGCGACGGCATCTTCAACGCGGACGACGAGGCGTGGAAGGAGCAGCGCCGTGCGGCCGCCTGCGAGATGCACTCCGGCCGCTTCGCGGAGTACTCGGCCAGAACCATCACCAGCCTGGTGCACGACAAGCTGCTCGTGGTCCTCCACAAGCTGGCCAGGACCCGGGAGAGCGTCGACCTCCAGGACCTGTTCCTCCGGTTCACCTTCGATAACATCTGCACGGCCGCCTTCGGGGTCGACCCCGGTTGCCTCGCCGTCGACCTGCCGGTGGTGCTCTTTGCCAAGGCCTTCGAGCAAGCCACCGAGCTAACGTTGTTCCGGTTCATCGTGCCGCCGTTCGTGTGGAAGGTGATGAGGCGGTTCGATGTCGGGTCGGAGAGACGGCTTAAGGACGCGGTCCGGATCGTCCACAAGTTCGCGGAGAAGACGGTGATGGACCGGCGAGCCGAGTTCGAGAGCCGCAAAGACTCAATTTTCGACCGGTCCGACCTCCTGTCTAGGTTGATAGAAGCCGAGACCGAGGAGGCCGACCATGGCGGCTGCACCAAGCCCAAGTTCTCCAACAAGTTCCTCAAGGACTTCTGCATCAGCTTCATCTTGGCCGGGCGGGACACCAGCTCGGTTGCACTCGCCTGGTTCTTCTGGCTCTTGACCGAATACCCCCACGTCGAGGAGCGCATCCTGCGCGAGATCTCCGACACCATCAAGAGAAGGGAAGACAGAGTACACGACCTCGACCACGTCATCTTCACCGTCGATGAGCTCAAACGAATGGACTACCTCCAAGCGGCGATCTCCGAGTCGCTCCGGCTCTACCCCTCGGTGCCCATAGACTTCAAGGAAGCCATGGAGGACGATGTGTTCCCCGACGGGACGGCGTTGAAGAAGGGGGCGAGGGTCATCTATTTCATATACTCCATGGCGAGGATGGAGTCGATATGGGGCAAAGACTGCCGGGAATTCCGGCCGGAGAGGTGGATAAAGGATGGCATGTTCGCGACGGAGAGCCAATTCAAGTACGCGGTGTTCAACGCCGGCCCGAGGCTGTGCATCGGCAAGAAGTTCGCTTACATGCAGATGAAGATGGTGGCGGCGTCCATCCTTCTGCGCTACCACGTGGAGGTGGTGAAAGGCCACAAGGTAGCCCCCAAGATGACCACCACCTTGTACATGAAGGATGGCCTCCAAGTCACCTTCAACAAGAGAGACGATCTCATCGCAGTGCATTAGCGAGTCGAACTCTGATCTAAAGTGTGTGTATAAACTCCAGTGCATGGAATGGTATCATGGGAGGTTGCGACAGCAGTGTCCCTGTGAGGGCACTCTTGAGTGTTACGCAATAACAAGAATGACTGCGTGTAAGCAAACATATCACAGTTTGCATTGTAAGAAATTACTCGTCGAAGGTCGTGCATAAAGGTCTCAGAATCTAAATGCTGCTATGCAATGTAGAGTGAGCTCCGTATGCTTTCTTCATCTTTGACATATTGGGATATACCCTTGCAATACATGTTTTTGACGTGATGGATGTATGAACAGATAGTGGCTGATCGACTTGTGCATGGGTTAATAATGTAATGACGATGTTAGTTATAATTTAGATTCGAGTAATTTCGGTATAGATGCACGGTATATGGTGTTCCAAGAAAGTTTAATCGCATTTAAATGTCAGTGTTGATGGCTGATTTATGTAGTTTTCATGTCATTGATGATTTCAGTTGCTAATTCGTTTTCCGTGATAATTTAGTCTGGTTGGTAAAGTTGTATTTATAGTTTTTGTAGGTACAACTGTCAATTAATGTTACATCCTAATTATTATTTTCCTAATTATTAAAAATAAAAATATTTAAAAATAAAAAGAGTGGAGTGCGACGTTGTAGGACTGGTCGAGACACCCCTGAAATCTCCCGGGGTGATGTCATTTAGTGATACCTAATGCCGGATTCGGATTACCCGCGGATCCTCTGCCGACCAGGAAACATTGCACGGGTGATTCAACCGATTTTGGTCTCGCAGACCAGCGATTGTCGTGACCCGCTGGAGGTCGAGGCACGAGCCGCCGGTGTGCTACCAACGTTGGACGCTCGTGTCTTGAGTCATGCATCGAGTCGGCTCAGTGATCTGATATAAAGCCATGCGATGTGGCTATCGTAAGATTGTGAGCCCCACGTTTCAGATGCTTTACATCGTTCCTCTGGTCTGTATCGCGCGTCGAATAAGGACGCAGGTGTAAAACCGGGTTCCGCACGGTGTGCACGGAAGGATTTGCATCGAATGCTTCCCTCCCTCCCAATCGGCCACTTGCTGCAACCCTAAGCGTCGTGGACACGGCTTCAATGCTATGTGGTCTCTCCTCCCCACCAGTTGTCGCGATCACGAACAGCTCCACATGGGAGCCACTAGGCGTCCCTCGCAATCCCCTCCGCGCTGATGGTATGCATCATCAACCACCCTAGTACGCATGTACTCGATGCAGCGCCCAATCCTTGCCGACTTTAATGGTTCACTTTCCTCGATTAAAGCTTGAAGATCGAAGCAGGTCATGCAGTGAACGAGGAAGGAGAGGGTTTTGTGGGGCCTTGGGAAAGGGTCAATTTGGGGCAAGGAACATGAGAAGAAAAAGTTGGGCTCTTTGAAGGCTTTTTACTGCGTGTAAAGGAGAAAGGAGCACGAAAAAGGGAAAATATGCGAAGAACGAGGGAGGACAGAGAATCAAGGGAAGATGGTTGGCGTCAAGAAGAAGAATCGGCCTTTCAGGGACTGCGCAGGGCAGTGCTCTCTCGGAAAAGCCCTCTTTTCATTCTCATTGTCTTCCTCGTCCTGCCCAGCTTTCTTTCTTCGAGATCATGCTTGGTAGTTTCAGAGAGAGCTTGGTATGCTTTCTACTCCCTTCTTTTTCAGTGAGAATCCTTTTCTTGTTCGTATGGTGTCCCGTCTTGATTTCTCTCCGTCGAGGAGGTTGTCCTTTTGAGACAGGAAAAGACAATAATGACTCCACTTTTTTCTCCTTCGTAGATGATGAAACATCCGGTTAGCGCCGACCGGAACGCCTGTCGAGGTACATTAACACCCTGCTTAGGCTCGATCCCTCACGCCACGCCAACGGCAAACGCTACCAGAAGTACGATCCTGCTCCCTGCGGGCAGGCACATCATACAACGGTAATTCTCACTATAAAAACCCTCGCACACGAGAGGAAAAGGAGGAACTGAGCAAAAGAAACCCCCTGTGACCATCCACTAACTTGATCGTCGGAGGGGTCGGGTCGAGCTCCCCGACCCGACCTTTGTGCAGGTGATCGTCGGAAGTCGTCCACTAAACGCCCAGACGAGGAGTCCTCCCCCCGTGGAAACGGCTACCCCGCCCCGATCGGACCCACGCAATCGGCCGCCTCAGCAGTCTCGGGAAACGTCCCAGGGTGATCCCCTATCATCCAGACCCGAACTAAGCCACGACAGCCCCGAGGCCACGGCTCGAAGTTGTTTATACCAACATTTTTGGCACTAGAAGGAGGGCTTGAACCT